GGTTGCTTGTGAATTCCGTATTTGATTAGTAACTGTCTGATATCGTGGCCTATAGCCTTGGAGTCTTCCGGCTCCAGCTTGAGCACCCCGAGATAATAATTTATTAGGCTTATAGCTTTCTCATTCACAGCCTTGATAAAGTTTTTGCCATTTATTATGCAGTTCTTGCTAACCGCTCAATTCTCACTAAAATCTCTGCACGAATTTTATCTAGCTTTATCGTAGCAGGTAAGTGCACTAGTCCTGTCTTCCACTATTCCTTGAGTTCCTTCCAATAGCGTCACTTTATCAGCGCATACCTCGGTATTAGTGGCTGAGTTTGCCGAATTTTCTAGCCCTACCACATCAAGAAACCTTTCAATTTCTTCTGCCATAGATTTCATAATATCTTCATCGGTCGCAAAGATTTTAAGGTCATCCATAAACAACAGATGATTCGTAATGTGCATTCCTTAATCAGTTGGAACCGTCACCTTTGGACACCTCATACTGAATCGACGGCTCAACGGGTCATGCACAGAATGAATAGCAGCGGAGAAAGGCTATCACCTTGGAGAATTCCTCGTTGTATTTTCTTCTCAGTTATAGTTTCTCCATTGTTCTTCAGTACGACTGCCCATCTGGATGTGATGCTTCTCAGAAAGCTGCTGATCCACGACGGCATATTAAGCCTTTCAGTGCATTTAATCAGGTATTCGTGATTAATTGAATCGAACGCTTTTTTAAGGTCATATTACGTAGTGTAAATCTGGTTTCCGTGCTCTTTGCAAGCCACCAGGCTCAACATTGCTTGTTCCTTCGCACCTTGAAACTAGGTAACAGTTCCTCATTGATTGTCTTCAAGCAGCTTCCTGATGGCGGCATCTAACTGCATGATACGCGCCACACATTTCGTTGTTAACTTGTAAAGATTGGACACGCAAGTTATTGTCCTGAAGTCACTGCCTTTACTTAGGACACCTTTTGGAATCAGATAGGTAGTAGAAACACGGATTCTGTTCCTCCCTATCCAGAAAATTTTTTTCGTAAACTCTCACATGGTTTGTCGTCAATATGCTTAACGCTTCATGACAGTCACGCTTAAGAGCAAGTATGAGATTCATCTCCCTAATACACTTCTTGACCTCTTTTAAGTCTTTACCTCCCAGTTTGTCACCGGCCAAAGTTCGTTCTATGAGGGGTTTGTGGAGATTCAGCAAGCTTATCTTCTTTTCTATGTTTGCTTTCCACTCCGATGGCTTCTCTCGCCTTGTCATGTCTTCATAGCATTATTGTGCTGCCTTGATCTGTCTTGCAATATCAGTCATTGACTTGGGGCGATTCTGTGTAGCATAATTCACCCGCCGCTTCGGTTACTGCTCCAAGTATGAGCAAGTCCACGCT